CCCGGAGGCTTTTGTAAAACGGCAGGGCTTTGGCCAACTGCATCACCTCGCCTTCTGGGAGGTTCTCGAACTCAGCCACCTCACACGCTGTGACTTTCTCATGAAAGATTTTCTCCTGCAACTTGATGACCTCCGTTGCATCATCGCGGTGTGTGAACTCAGAGCTGTCCATATGCTTCCGAAATTCCGCGGGAGCCATGGGGACTTTGCCCACGAAGCAGGCCTCAGGTTCAGACTCCCCAGCGTCGATCTGCTGGTTCTGTTTCGTGGCGCTTTTGGCCGAAGACCACTCGATCTCCGCGCGGCACCACCCGCGGTCCCTGTATGGAACCGAGTTGCGTTGCAGGTCTCGGACCGGAACTTCTTGGATCGACTTCGTGGGCAAATGATACACTGGGACTCTGTGGTCTGAGTTCAGCCAGTACTCCTCAGGGGTGAGCCGTTCAAGACGAAAGGTCAGGCAGTGCTCGTGGGCGTATAGCACATGCATGTTGGCCATGGAGTGTCGAAAGCTCTCTTCCTCTTCGGGTGTCTTTCGCTCAAACTGAAACAAGGAAACATAATCATAAAACACCCAAATGTCTGAGAAATAAGCGGCATCGTACAGGGAGATGCAGCTGACCAAGTTTTCGAGTTGGAACCCGAAAGGATCCGGATGTTCCCTGCTCTCCCAGCAGTGAGACACCGAGCAAATTATTGCATCTCTCTTTCCTTCGTAGCCCAGTACGGGCCCAGTACCAGGATGGGCTATTAGACCCTATAACCCCTTAAAAAGTCCCTTTATAGGGTTGATTATGGGGATTATAAGGCCGAATCGCCCATCCTGGTAACCATGTTACAACAAGGGTACCCTTGTTTGGTTGGTTTCTTGAGAAGGGAACCCCGAACCAAACAAAGGGTAAAGGGTACCGCTGGGCTACCAAGTTTCCCGTAGACCACTCCCGGACGTGTCTGTGGCTGACCAGCGCAGACTTCACCTCTCACACATAAGAAAACCTGCATCGAAACACGACGTGATGCACAAGTCATGGTGGCCTGCTGTGCCTCTTGCCGCCGGGGGAAAGGCCTTTTCGAGCTCTGCAGCTCGTAGAGGTACCTCTTGGAAGGGGTTGTTAAAGGAGTCTAATTACCTACTCTCCTCTAAGCATCTGCATGGGCACTCCGCGCGGACCAAGCGAATGTCAGCATCTTGTAGGAAGTTGGCGAGGGCTTTTCGGTCTTTCAGGCTGTAGTGGACCTGGCTTTCGAGATGTGTCGGCGCCCCCCTGACATGTTGACATGCAAACCCGCGAATGCAACGTCGGCGTGGTAGCAACTCAGAGTAGCAAACAGCCACTGCTTTTGTGCTTTTTTCTTGATTCATGCCCATGCTTTGGAAGGTATGCAGCTCGTCAACTTTGGTGGTCAATTGTGGTGTGTCGCCGCTGCTATCAGGACCACCGGACCACACAAAGTAGCTTCTCAACATTGGGGCGTGTGCTTCATGAGTGAAGACGTTCCACGAGCTTGCGTCCAATTTGGTCGCCGCGTTTCCCGAAACTCACCACACAAAGGAACCGCTCGTTCAGAGTTGCGTTCTGTTCAGGCTCTGAACGGAAGGTTTTGGGGGTTCTATAGAGGACCCCCTTCTGCAACTTAAAAGACTTACACGCCTACACACCCCTAAACCCTAAACTTAAAGGCCCTTAACCATTATCCCTTGGGATGTTACCCCTTGTACTAACAGTCCTTTACAGGGATTATAGTGCCCCTACTATAATCACTCTGCAGGACTGTTGGTAGAAGGGGGAACATCCCAAATTATCCCAGTCTACGGAAACATGCCAGGCCTCGGGCACTGCCACCTTCGAACTCTCTGCAGGCTCCTGGCAGTGTCGAGCTTCTGGTCTCGCATCCTCTTGCACCCCGAAATGGATGCTGCAAATGCCCACGGCCTTGCACTCCAACCTCTAAATTCCTGCAATATCCAATCCACATCATGCACGGGCCTTAATTTTTGGAGCAGGGTTTTGGGGGGGGTGAGGATAGTGTAATAAAGTATGACCATGCAGGGACCAGAAGGGAAGAGTAATTAGTAACTGAAGCCTTGGGTTTAGGGTTTAGGGTTTAGGGTTTAGTGTTTAGGGTTTAGGGTTTAGGTTTTAGGGTTTAGGGTTTAGGGTTTAGGGTTTGGAGTCTCCCACAGATAGGCCCTCCGCACTGCTTAAACGGATATCTTCGAGAGAATTCCGGACAAGCTTGCGCAACTTCCTTCTGTTGCTTCGTAGGGAATGAGGGAATGAGGTACCCTGTGTCCCCCTACATAATACCCTTTAAGGGATTATGCAGGGTACCGCCTTCCCTCATACCCTACTAACCAACAGTAAGCTTCATGCAGCCCTAAACCCTAAACCCTAAATCCTAAACCCTAAACCCTAAACCCTAAACATGCGCCTGCTGGCTCCCCTCTGAAGAGCATCGTTGCTTTTGGGTGAGACAATGTGAGATGCCAGCGCCGCATGGCGCGCAACAGCCCATGGCCCCAATCGTTCTCCTCTCACATCCCGGTTGGGCTGGCTTAGGGTTTAGGGTTTAGGGTTTGGGGTTTAGGGTTTAGGGTTTAGGGTTTAGGGTTTAGGGTTTAGGGTTTAGGGTTTAGGGTTTAGGGTTTAGGGTTTAGGGTTTAGGGTTTAGGGTTTAGGGTTTAGGGTTTAGGGACGTTTAGGGTCTAGACCGGCCCGAGGGGTCCGTGATAGCATCGGACTACAATGCGCTGTAGGATTGACAAGCATCTTCCAGTCGGACTTTTGCTTTGTTGTCCAATAAACTGGTGGCATTAAAGGTTAACCTTTGGGATTCTAAGGGCATTATACTACTGTACCCCAAAAAGGTGAAAGGCTACCTACTCTACTACTAGGTTTGAGGCTTCGTCACACCGTGTCTCAGGCAGGTCTTGTCCAAAGGAGCTATTGACTGAAATAGGCCTGCAAGAAGAGCGGTTGAATGGTCATGCTACTCTGCAAACTGACAAGCTGAAGCAAAATGCGCGAAGGTTTCTCCTGGCGCATCGCAGTGCAAACTCCGACGCAAAGTGGAAAAAACTCGCGGACTGTCTTGGGCGCACTCGTTGCAGTACACCCAAGAGAGCACTCAGTCAGGATATAGGGCTTGGAAGGTTTAGGGTTTCGGGCTGACTTCACAGCTTTTGCTGGCTGCGCGCTCAGCCATGAAACGAGATATAGGCATTTCCCAAAATAGGGGGTACCCCGTTTCTACCCCAAATGGAATAGAAACCCCTTAAAGGGACCCCCAAAAAGGGCACCCCTAATTTCGTAAACCCCCCATATCCCAGGCCGTAAACGAAGCAGCCTGAGCCGACCCCCTTTGCTCTTTTGGCCGGGTGCATCTGTCGCCGGGCTTTCTTGCCTCGAAACCCTAAACCCTAAACCCTAAGATGATGTTGTGCTAATAGGAAGGCAGTTTAGGGTCTCAGGGCTTCGGGTGGGACGTTCCCCCCGTACGCTAACAGTCCCTAGTAGGGGGGTACTATAATCACCCTAAACACTAAACCCTAAACCCTAAACCCTATTCAGGATGATAGGGATTTTGGTACCCCTACTATAAACCCGATTAAGGACTGCTAGTATAAGGAGGAGCATCCCAAGGTTTCGGTGACACATGGTTTGGGGTTTAGGGTTTAGGGCTTAGGGTTTAGGGTTTAGGGTTTAGGATTTAAGTACGATAAAACTGGCAAACTCAGCTCTAAGCAAACGGGCTGAGGGTTTAGGAACATAAGTGCGAAACTCACATCCCATGCAACGCTATTTGTTCAGGGAGCCCACCCCCTTCCTGTATGAACTCAATGATAGGCCACTTAGACTGTCTAAACCCTAAGCCCCACTGAAACCGCGCACCTGCTGATATAAACCCAAGCGACGACTTGCTAGGCTAGATCCCGTAAACCTGAGTCCTAAAACCCTCTACGCCCTGAGCCCTACAAGCCCTGAGCCCTGCAAACTCTAAAGTCGTCGTCATCGTAGTAGTGGTCGTAGTAGTCGTCGTCGTCGTAGCAGCAGCAGCAGTAGTCGCAGTAGTCGTTGTAAAGCCCTACCACCCCAACACCCTAAAAACCCCAACATCCTAAAACCCCAAAGGCCTAGTATCCTAAGCCCTCATCTAGAACCCCGACCCTCCCCCCCCAGGGTCTAGGGTTTAGGGTATGCCCCAAAAACCTAAGCCCTCAACCACAAAGCGCTAAACCCCTAGAGCCCTAAAACCTCTAAACACTGAACCCCTAAAACCCCAAATCCCTAAGCTCAACCTAGTTGCTGAGCACCCTGGGCAAAACAAAACAACCTTCCAATTGTGGTAAAGCTATATACTACGCCAAAAGGTTCAATGCTACCTACTCAGCTACTGGTACTAAGTCTTTGAGCCACAGCCGCTGTCTACCCGTACCCCCTAAACCTAAACCCTAAACCCTAAACCCCTCAATCCCTAGGCTCTTAAAACGCCCTCCGCTCTCTCATGACTTCAGCGTCTGAAGGTTCAACGTCTCGAGAACCTTGTCAAAGCCAGCTTCTATCACCAACAGCTGGCCCTGGCCAGGGGGGGCTACGAGGGATGGACATGTGTAGGGGCTTAAATTTAGAACTTAATGTTGAACATCTGGGGTTTAGGCGTGAGGTTGAACAATTATAAGAGCTTTTGGGGATTTTAGGCTTCTACGGCCTCCTCGCCGAACGACAGTTTCTTGCCGGAATCACGCACTCCCATGCCTTGGCTGTAGGGTTGTAGGTTGGGGTTTAGGGGGTAGGGTTTAGGGTTTAGGGTTTAGGGTTTAGGGTTTAGGGTTTAGGGTTTAGGGTTTAGGGTTTAGGGTTTAGGGTTTAGGGTTTAGGGTTTAGGGTTTAGGGTTTAGGATTTAGGGTTTAGGGTTTAGGGTTTAGGGTTAGGGTTTAGGGCTTAGGGTTTAGAGTTTAGGGTTTAGGGTTTAGGGATCAGGGTGCAGGGTTTACAGTGTTTTTGTTGGATCCTCAAGCTGTACACACAAGCTTCTGTCGAAAACACTGAGTCCCAAAACCTAAACCAAGCCTCCGACCTCTCTGACAGTGGAGCAAGCCCTACTGTCCCTAAACCCTAAACCCTAAACCCTAAACCCTAAACCTGACAAGCCCTACCGTGACCAAACTGAATTAGAAAACATTGGCTCAAGAAAGCGGCGGGGCGCGGTGGAGAGCTAACACCCAAAAGCGCGGAGCAAACAAAAAAAGACGCTGTGCTAAAAGAAATCCAGGGTACCCTGAACCCTAAACCCTAAACCCTAAACCCTAAACCCTAAACCCTAAACCCTAAACCCTAAACCCTAAACCCTAAACGCTAAACCCTAAACCCTAAACCCTAAACCCTAAACCCTAAACCCTAAACCCTAAACCCACATCTACAGCCGAAGTTTTGTTTCGGCGGGGCGCCTCGGGCGCAGGAAAGTATGAAACGCAGGGGGCGGCTCTGGGAGCTTGGGCCGGTGTATTCGAGAATTTAGGGTTAGGGTTCATAGGGTTTAGGGTTTAGGGTTTAGGGAGGGTTTAGGGCTTAGGGTTTTGGGTTTTGGGTTTAGGGTTGAGGGACTTCCTCCCCAACTTCGACCCGAGATTAGGGTTTAGGGCTCATGCTGGCCGTCATGAGGCTGGGGCTGATTTTATCTGGAGTCTTGTCTCCTGACATATGAAGGGCCCATGAAACTCTCCTTAGAGGCACTGTGAGGGAAGCACTGAAACCCAGGCACCCCCCCACACCCTCAACCCACACATCCTAAAACCTAAACCCGAAACCCTAAACCCCAAACGTGGCTTGGTGCTGTTTGCAAGGTTTGGGCCAGTCGGGGGTTTGGGGCTGGGTCCCCGGAGCCATTTTCGGAGCCATTTTCAGAAGCCCAAAAGTTTAGGGTTTAGGGTTTAGCGTTTAGGGAAAGTTAGAAAATGAGGCGTGTTTAGGGGGGTTTAGGGTTTGTAGTCGCGTTAGGGTTTAGGGAGGTTAGGGGGAGGGGCTGAGGGGTTAGGGCTTTTAGGGTCCCACTTTCTTTATTTTAAGAAGAGGAGGTGCCCATTGTCGTAACTTTCAGAAAATGAAGGGCTCTTTTCTTGAACTTAAGAAACTGAGTCCTCAGTTTCATGTGTTCTTCTGGGCCTGAAAATTGGATTCTGATATTTGCTAACGGGTCGGCCTCCTGGAAATGGGAGGGTTGGGTACCTATAACCCAGTTATAAGTCTACTTTTGAGCTAGTTAGAGGACCGAGGAACCCTTATAGGTACAGCGATACTTGGGGTTATACGTACCTGAACCTCCAGGTACCTTTTTCAGAAATCCGAGGTACCCTCAAATGGAGTTGTCGCTTTCTTCTTTCAGCGCTGTCACTGTACCCAAGCTAGGGTTTAGGGTTTAGGGGCTAGGGTTTGGGGTTTGGGGTTTGGGGTTAGGGTTTAGGGTTTAGGGTTTAGGGTTTAGGGTTTAGGGTTTAGGGTTTAGGGTTTAGGGTTTAGGGTTTAGGGTTTAGGGTTTGGGTAGGAGGCCTGAAGGGTCTAGGGTGCAACTAGGATTTGCCGGCTTTGAGTTTCCGACTCTCCCAAAGCCTGACTCCGACTCAAGAGCCTTGCGAAACTGACTTTTGAAGGGTGCGAGCCAATGAAAAAACCCAGGTTACAACCCTAAACCCTACACCCTAAACCCTAAACCCCAAGCCCTAAACCCTAAACCCAAAACCCCAAACCCTGGACTCACTGGTGCATTGGGTTGGCCCCGAAGTCCTCAACCCCAATAAGCCCTCAACCCCAAGTCCCCGCTAATAGGGTTTAGGGTTTAGGGTTTAGGGTTATTGCCTTATACAACCTATATATATATATATACCTTATATCGAGCCCGCAACCTTTAAGGTCTATTTTGTCTTGTGCTTTCCTTTACTACAACAAAGACCTAGTCTAAATACATATATAAATATTATTATATGTGTAAGAATATGCACAGGGACGAGACGACGCACATATCTACCTTTTTTTTTTGCTGTAGTCGTCAGCTTGGATGAGCTGCACGTTCGCAGCTGATCTTGCACATCATTGCTTTCGCTCCCGCGAACAGCGTCATTCCAGGTCACAACAAACCCACCGAGCAGAATGGCAGCAAAAGCTCAGCTAGTAGCTTAGATCTGACTCACGTCTTTCAGGTACTCTTGCATATCACTTTTGTCGCTACCAGCAGAGGCGTTCCCACAGATTGCAACAGACCCATCGACCAGCACGGCAGCAAACGCCGAGTCAGTAGCTTGGATCTGCTGCACGTCCTTCAGCTGATCTTGCACTGCACTGCTATCGCCGCCGTGAGCAGTGTCGCCCCAGGTTGTAACACACCCAGACGCTTTCCTCACAGGGTTTCGAGTTTAGGGTTTAGGCTGTATGGTTTAGGGTTTAGAACTTTTTTGTAACATGGGTAAGCCATCCCGCGCTAACTACTTCATCGGAGTTGCAAAA